GACAGATGGACGGACGGACGAACCCATATAAATATCCCCCGTTTCGGTGAAAGCAGGGGACAATAAATTTATAGTTACATCTACAATTGATGAAGATCATGGTCAATTTTACTGCAGCCATTTCTGGTTCCCTTTACTTTGACATCCTAGTCCCAGCAGCAGTGAATGTGGACACATCGTCCTATGACCATGCACAGCTGTTGTGTAGACGAATATAAGAGCCTCGACTACACATTTGCGATTGTTATGACAGGGGAATCTCAATGTCTTTACCCTAGCATTAGACAGATACACCTTTTCCTGAATAAAAGTGTGGATATCTCTGTGTGATGTTAGAGAAATGAAATTCCAGACAATTGAACCCCCCCAAAAAAACAGATAAAGTTGAGTTTATCATTGATGATCTTAATCTTACCACAGACATAGAAACCTGATAAAAATCGATAAATGATTCAATGTGTTTTTGAATCAATCAAATAAGAATCAATCAAATAAGAAAACAAAAGTTATTTTGAGAAGGGGAGAAAACCTACATCCTTTGGTTTGTATGATTTTGTCGTCGCCCTGAAGGAAGGATCTAAAGACACTTTTCTGCCAGGCATTACACACGTAGGCCTCGCCATTCCTATTGTCCGATGGTATCACATTGGCAAAATGCAACTTTCCTGAGAAAAATAAACAACAAGAATTCATCACTATATTTCTAAACATTTTTATGAAATTTTAATTGAAAATTATAATAGTTAAATGAGCTTTTATTTTTTTAAGGGAGGATTGATATTTCTATTTTTTTTTAAAAACTCAAACTGCAAACTGCTGTCTTGATTTTTATAAGAAACTCTTAATTTTTTTTGTAATTAAATGGCCTGCAATTACATGGTTTTAGGTAGATATATAGTCATTACAATGTAAAATTTATAATATAATCCTTACCTATTCACGGAGTCAATGTTTCCAACAAATGTATCAATTTAAAGTTTATTTAAAGAGTCATTTATATAATTTGGTACAACTTGTGATCCTATTTCCTTACACTTACCAGAATAATCCATGACGACTCGGTCATCCAGCTTGATCCTTGACCCTGCACTGGACGGGTCATTGGTGTCGGTCCAGTACACTATTGCTTTGGGAATACTTAGAGGTGGACTACAAGTTAACGTCGCAGAGTTCCCCACGACAACACTCACTCTCTTCGGAACTGTCACTGAGGGAAACGGTTCATTTACGGCTTTAATCATCTGAACCTTTTTTGACAGTGATCTACCTAGTCTGTTGTATGCAGAACACTGGTATATTGCCACGTCGTAGTCTGATGTCTCATCAATTGTTAATGAACCACCCGACACTTCTGACACTATCCGTGTGATATTTGTAGTAGGTGATATATATTCTATGGCATCAAAGTCGATTTCTTTTCCATTTTTCGTCCATGTGTATCTGCAGAATAAGAAACAACATTTCAGTGTACGTAACTGGGTAAATGTTCTGACACATATCATATCATTATACTCCTATGTGTGGCTAGACACATGTTTATCTACTAATCCCAGGATAACACTC